ACACACACACACACACACACACACACACACACACACACACAACCAACAGGATATAGTCTCTCTACCTCGGACGTCACTCTCTCATGCTAAGCTATGGCGGGGATGCAGCTTCTACTCCAGCTATGGCGACTCTCACTCTCACTCTCGGTCCCTCGGGGACGCAGCTTCTACTCCAGCTATGGCTACTCTCACTCTCACTCTCGATCCCTCTCCTTCTCCCATCTGCCTCCTTCCAGCAGTAGCGCTTGAGCAGAAGCGCAAGCCTTAGGCACAATAAACGTCCGAGCTGCAGCAGGCCCAGTGACAGATAAACCATCAAAGCAATGAAGAGCAAAGTTGACACGAAGTCAAAACATGCAAAGACATTCAGACCAGACGTAAGGGGAGAGAAAAGACGAACAGAAAAGTTAACCCCGAGCGCAATCATAGCGCGTATGATATACACAATGAAGCTCACATGAAACACGAAGATGGCGCAAACGCCATAAAGACGTAAGTGCCGTAAAAAGTAAGCACAACTGGCGAAGAGACCCTACACGTGTTTCGACCGACTCGCCAGTGTCGGTCCTCGTCAGGGGCAAATGAAAGCGCACGATGAGTTTCGCTACGAGACTACTGCCCTATACGAGATTTCAGAATGATTGCTTCTTCTGGCCTGCGGATGGCTGAGATTTCTCACCTATACGGCGAAGAACTTGTTGCGGCCAGTGTCGTACATTAACCAAGTGAGCGCTGGAAGCTTCTGGAAATTGTTGCCGCGCCTTCGGATCGATTGTGGTTGATTTGTGGCCGTGATCAACTCCTGACGAATCTTTCACTCTCCGACTTCTGTACCCAGCTGACTGTTGACTTCCCTCTGGCCAGTTTTCGACTTCTGGAGCCTCTCAGCACCTGGATTTGACCCCCCCCCCCCCCCTCAATTTGATCTCTTTTTTACCCCTCCTCCGCCTATCAACGTAAGGACATTTTCGCAACTGCCAATCTTTGGACCGTAAGACGTAGAAAAGAAAACATAAAAAAAAAAGAAAGAGGAAAGACTTAGCTGTGTTAGTTCTGCCCTTGGCTCCTTGCAGGAGACTGAAAACGCTGAGGTTATTTTAATGATTTAGTTAATATTTATTATTTAATCATCTATATACTACTTATAGCAGTAGATGCTGATATAAGAAGCTGACATCATAGTGAAAATTTTTCCATTCATGGAAAAAGCTCCATTTTTATTTTATTAAGGAAAAAGGCTGACCAAATGAACTCACTGCAATCAAGTTCCTCCCTTGCTTGACCACGAACTGAAGAGTGTAGGAGGGAGGAGGGAGGAGGGAGGAGGGAGGAGGGAGGAGGGAAGTGGGACAAACAAGAAATTAAGAAGTAAAGGAAACGAAACGAGTCTCTTTCTATTCTGACTCCTATCCATCCTCTCTCTCTCTCTCTCTCTCTCTCTCTCTCTCTCTCTCTCTCTCTCTCTCTCTCTCTCTGCGTGTGACTGTCAGTGTCTCTCTCTATCTCACCTATGAACACACAATGCGTGTGTCTGCCCGTGTCTCTCTCTATCTCACTCACGTATGCACACACAAACTGAGCATACACAGATGAATGTCCTGGAAGTAATATCACGCATGCGTGGACTTGAATGGGGCACAATTCCAGTGGGAAGTAAAGTAGAGGCTTCAAGTAGCAGTGCGCAATCCAGAGGGAATTCCCCACTGCACTGCGGCAGACGGTTCCCCTTTCCCGCGGGACAACCTCAAGTACCAGGTTGCCCCAAGGACTGTTGGGCCAGCGTTGGTTTAGCGTTGGCATTTTCCAGTGGGACCTGATCCATTTTAGCAGCGAGAATTCTCAGGGGGACATTTCACTTGGTAGTCCCTAGGCCCTTATCCTCGTTTTCCTCCCGTCCGTCGATCATAGCGAGAAGAGAAAGGTGAGAGCCGCCTCCGAATTTCCCACCTGCAAAAATCACAAGAGACCAAGCAATCATCACGCACGAACACCAAATGGCAACGTAAGTCTGTGTATGCCTAAAGGCTGTAAGCCTATAAGGCTACATAAAATATTAACAAATAAATAAAGCCGTCTAGGGGTGTGGATAGCAAACAGAGAGGGGTCAGATTTACCCACACTAGGGTCCAATAAAAGATACCCAGTTAATAACCAAAAACAGGGGTCAGTCGAGTGAGCCCTTTGTTTGTTTGTTATCCTTCATTATTTGACCATACTTAAAAATTAATTAATTAATTAATTAATTAATTAATTAAAAAAAGATACATAAATTTATCGAGGGGCCAAGTTGCCTACAGTAGGGCCTTTAAAGGGGTCACGCACTTCAAGTAGTTAACATAGCACGCCATGTGTGTAAACCCTAAAGCTTCTTGTGGAGGACATAACGTGCCAACACCTAGAACGGTGACTGGCTTTCGGCTTCACAGTGTTCACACAGCATCGCCCTTCTGGCTCCTCTACTCATACCGCTACTCCTAAGGCTATACAGGGCACCCCTGCAAGCATAGGTATCTCTCACAATCAAGGAAATGCATGCCCCCCCCCCTCCCCCTGATCGACGGTGGTCAGGGAGTAGCATGGGGCTACTGGTGGGAGGGGCCGACTAACGCAAGGGCCAAGCATTTTGCCAGTAGCTGCGCCTCCCATCTACTTCCCCCACCCTCGAGTAACAGCAGTGTCTACGGCCAGCACTCACCCACGCAACCCCTCCCAACCCCCACCATACACACACACCTCTTATACACATCTAGATGTGTATAAGAGACAGGTCCATGGCCAGCACTCTCCCACACACCACACCCAACCCATACACACACACACACACACGTGATGGCCAAAGACCCTATCAGACCCTATCTCAGAGTGCCCCAAGCATGCCCCAGGTGCTTGGTGGGGCTTGGACCCACTACCTCCTGAATGCCACTTGCATGGCTAACGAACTGAGCTAGGCCTGTCTCTTATACACATCTAGATGTGTATAAGAGACAGGGCCAGCACTCTCCCACCCCCCCCCCACACACACACACACACACACGTGATGGCCAAAGACCCTACGGATACCGACCAGGGGGAGCAAGCCAACTATCTCAGTTGGTAGGCGGCCAGCGGCGATTTGGCCCACAAGCTCCTGAATGTCATTTGTGTGCCTAACCAACTGACCAAGGCCCATCTTCTCCCTAAGAAATTCTTTAACCTGCAGGCTCCATGGCTTAGACAGGGGGAGGTGGATGGTAAAGCCACCCGATGATGCTAGAAGCGAGGCCCTAGGAGAACTGTGGGGGGATTTGAGAACTGGAGATCGGAATCAACAAAATAAACAAACAAGAGAAAAAGACAAAAGCGAGACCTCCCCTCACCGCGCAAAAAAGCTAGGTAAAGGGCCTCTCACCGCATCACTGTCGCAATGAGAAAAGAACAAGCGCATCTTCCACAGCGAGGGGTACGACGCATCCGTTGCTATTCGTTGTAACGGATGCATCTTGCCATTCTCTGTGGGAAAATGCACTTGTACCGTTGTACGTTTTTTTTGTTTCAATCGTGGTGCGGCTCAAAGCTAGGAGGGGAAAAGTAGAGGCCACACACGTGCAAAAAAAAAAAAAAAAAAAAAAAAAAAAAAAAAAAAAAAAAAAGCCCTTGCTCCATGCATGCAACATGCGCAAGTTACCCAACTGGCCTAGCTCAGTTGGCACACCCTTGAGCTGTTGAGAACTTGAAATACATACCTGAGTTCAAACTTAACCACCTGGCCTAGCAGATGAGTAAACTACTACAATTCTGCATACGCAGGGCCGGTCGGTTCGATGACGATATCTCAAGGCCGTCGCTCTGAATTAAAGAAGAAAAAAAAGGGAAAGGAAGAGGAAGCTTTGAAAGGGCAAAGAATCTTGAAAGAAGAAAGAAAAAAACTTGCAGACAGAGAGAGAGAGAGAGAGAGAGAGAGAGAGAGAGAGAGAGAGAGAGAGAGAGAGAGAGAGAGAGAGAGATGCACAACTTACCAGAGCGCCGCTCTCTCATCGGAAGTATTGCCCACAATTCCTTTGTTCTCCTCTGCTCTTCTCACAAGGTAGGGCAAGACCTCCTCAATTTTTCCAAACGGCACGTACTTGGTGACTGAGTGTCCTCCCTTGGCCAAGGCAAACGACAACCGGTCGGCCATGCCCTTGAGCTGCGCAAACTGCACTCTGACGTCTCCTGTAGGCAAGAGTCGGTCCTTGGCTCTCTCAGCCGCCTTCGCCGCAGACGTCGCATTGTGGGTAGCAAGAAGGAGAGCGGGACCGCCGCTGTGCGTGTTCACGACACAGTCGATCACCATCCCCGCACAGGTGTCGTAAACTTCATGCGTTCGCTCGATGGAGGGATGTATTGGCGAAGGAACGCCGGCCAATTGCGCAAGTGCATTCTCTTTGCTCATATATGCGCCCCGTACGAGTTTTACACCATACCTCATTCCCGCTTTCTCCGCTCCTTCGAGAGCGCAGCGGAGCCGAGCGGTAGCATCACGGAGGTAAGCCTGAACCGTTGTGTGGACAAGAGGAGGGTCCGCTCCTCGCCAGGTGCCGCTGCTTCCGGGTTTCGACTTGTTGAACTCTCTCATACACACTGAGGCGATGTAGTCGATTGCTGGCTGAATGGACAGGTACTCTGCATCTATGAGCAAGGGCAAGCCAGCTCCATTGCCTTGAGAAGCGCACGCACGACAAATGCTCCGCATGCGGTCCATGCATTTCTGCAGATCTGCTTCCTCCTCTCCACTTAACGGCTGTGGCTCTCGGGAATTGTGAACGGGACTCTCTGGTGCAAGAATAGGAAGAGACGGCTCCAGCCACGGCAAACTCACTGACGTCTTCTGCAGATGCTGCCACCGCAGCAGTCTGCTGACATGCTCCAACACTGGTAGAGGACACAGCGCTGACACCTGTTGCAATCGAACGTGGACAAACACAACATCCACAATCCATTCCCGTTACCTCGCTAGACTTGCTGATGATCCTCAGCACATGTCTGCATCAGAGAGCAAGAACCACCACCACCACATGCACCACGACATCCCAACTCTCTCTCTCTCTCTCTCTCTCTCTCTCTCTCTCTCTCTCTCGTGTGAGTGTGTGTGTGTGTTTGTGTGTGTGCGCAAGCGGTGGGATGTCCCCGACTACCATCTTCCCCGAAGACAAGGCATGTCATCATGACTGTTTCTGACCAGGAAATTAACATGTATGCATTCACTATAAGGGTGCGTTGTCTCTGGGGGAAGACAGTAGTTATATCGGTTGAGACTCCACAGAAATGGGGAAAAGAAAACGTTCTACAGAAACGAGGTACCTCTCTCTTCCTTTCAAAATCCGCTGAAATGCTTCAGAAAGAAAATAAACAAGTTTTTAAATTTTAACTCTTTTCTGACAACAGTAGTTAATAATCTATTACTCTTTTTGTTTTTTTTGACAAAATAAATAAAAGTAAAAACAAAACTACCAAACATCAACGTGCATGTAACTCCAAGTTCGTTTACCGATATTTAATAATTCTAAATTTACAAATTCATAATTAATTATATTATAATATAATAAATTAATAATATATAGATTATTTAGTATTTACCTTTTAGGTGCAGACTGCATTTTCTCTGATTCTAAGCAAAGCACAGAAGCATATCAAGTATCAAGGGCGGACTCGCACTACCATCGTCACCCATATAGAACGCCCGGTCATTACAGCTGTACTTGGAGCAACTGCCAGTCCAGATACATCGACAACGACAATCACAATTCAGGCGAAGATGGCAGAAGTATTGCCCAGCTACCTCTAGCCTCTCTTTCTTTTTTGTTTTTAAGAACATAACTTTTATAAAGAAACCTAGCCTCTGCTTCCACTGCGCTTAGAATTTTGAGTGTCTTCTTTAAAGTTTACACTCTTTTTTTTATTATTATTATTTTTTGATACTTTCCAGTTTCGAACTCTTGGCTCTATTCAATTCCATTTGTCCGATGAAGTTTTTTTTTCAAATCGACTATAACCCTTAGCCTTCCAAGCTAATGGTACGGGTTATTTGTTTCTTCGCAAAAACTGGGGAAGGTTTCGAAAAACAGATTTTTTTTTTTTATGATTATTATTTTTTTTTTTTGATACTTTCCAGTTTTGAACTTTTGCCTCTATTCAATTCCATTTGTCCAATGAAGTTTTTTTTTAAAAATCGACTATAACCCTTAGCCTTCCAAGCTAATGATACGGGTTATTTGTTTCTTCACAAAAACTCGGGAAGGTTTCGAAAAACAGAAAAGCATATCCAAGAAGATGTCAAAGAGACAGAGATGAGCCTTGGTTCCCTGGAACCCTGCCTTGGATGGCACCCTGCCGAAGCAGCCTGCAATCCCACGACTGGCGGGACACCTTCCAGAGCAGTCCTGAAGCTGAGCATTATTATACATTGTTACGATCCTGGTCATTCCCAAAGTGCAAATTCACAATGAAAGACAATGCCACCCAATTGCGAAAGAAATGAAAGTACTTGCAAAGAGATAGAGACCAGAGGAGAGAGAAAGAAGAAGAAGAAGAAGAAGAAGAAGAAGAAGATGTACACCAGCAAGGCCAATGGCAATTCCCCCTTCTCTCTCCACCTTCCTCCTCCTCCTTCACTTCGCCAATCTTATTCTTCTCCCAATAATAATAATAACAATGAGTGGATGAACCAGAATCAATATCCGAAGTTCCCTCTTACTGCTGACTCACAACAATAACAACAACAAGTCCACCACAGCTATGGCTTCCCTCCTTCTGCCTCCTCTCACATGCATAGGCTATGTTTACACAACCAGTCTGCTAGGATTGAAGGGTCCGTGTGAGTAAACTGACCACTTCTCTCTCAGATAACACCACTTCTGGGCGACGTGGCGAGTCCTTATCCATCAGTCAAATCATCTCAAATGCATCCTGAGCAAACCGTCTGTCGGGGTTCAACCTCCTCCCTGATGAGTTGGTGAAAGTTCGACGAAACACTCTGGCACCGTCGTTCCCTTTTTTGTAGATTTGTTTATCGTGAACACGACAACACACACACACACACACACACACACACACACACACACACACACACAGAAGCTGTGGTCCTCACCCACTCCTCTGCATGTGACGATATTTGTGTGCCTATTTATCTGCTTCTCAAACTTTGTCCATTATATCGTTCTAAAGTGTTCGTTTCGATCAGTATTCACCGAATATTCTCCGGACAACATCCCCATCATTGAAGGCCTCCAGTTCAGTGTAAGTGACGTGGCTGTCACTGTTCATGACTGGTTCCTCCCCCCTGGTCGTGAATCTGTGTGATGTGCAGCAAGCAAGCAATCCCAGGATCCTGACTGAAGTTCCTCACCGGAGTCAAATTTCCGTTCTGACTGATTTTGCTGAAATTACAGCACTAGAAAGAAAACATTTCAGTATTCCGTACCTCGAACTGGGCCCAGTTTTCAGTCAATCCGGAAATTCCATTTTAAAAAAAAAAGAAAAAGAACCTGGCTCGATAGTAGTCCATATCCATTCTGTGGAGCGTCAGTCAGTACGGTTCCTGCTCCACCCGCAAGTCTAGGGTAATTACCGTCTTCCACTGTCCTCCTGCCTGCCTCCAACCTACTTTCCTTTTTTTTTAATTAAAAGTTTTTTTTTTTTTTTTCGTTATTTGGACCGTGTCCCGATTCATGCGTGTCATCCTTGCACGGGCCATGCTAATCTTCTTTCTCTGTATCGTTACTATCGTTCCAATTTTTTTTCTTTTTTTTTTTTTCTTTTTTTTTTTGGTAATGACCCGTCAAAACACAGACTGAGAACACTGCTGATTTCTGAAGTTCTGCCGATGGAATGGATGCCTTGCTGAGATTCCCGCATTCTGCTGTGTTTCTAAGTCTGTCTGTGTGTTCGTGCTTGTGACCTGCATGCCTGCCTGAGTGCTTGTTGGTATGAGTGTGTGTGGGACCCGCAAGGGTACTTGCTTGTTTGGTAGGCCCGTAGGGCCGGTACTTACCTGTGGCCGTGGCATTGAGGGTTGTAGCAGGGAAAACACTCAAGTGGCGAAGCTAGCGGCCCTGAGGCCCTTGGGGTAGCGGAAAAACACTCAAGTAGGCCGGTAGGCCGATACCTCACCCCACTGCAGTTGGCGTGAGGGGGGTACTGGAGGCCGAGCAGAAAAAGACAAAGTTGGCATTTTTAGAGTCCAGTAGCGGTAGGGTAGGTCTAGGCCGGTACCAGTCCAACCAGTCTGAGTCTAGAGCCTGTACGAGTAATATCAGGGTCTGCAATGATGTTTCCCTCCGAAACGGAGGAGGTACCGGTTGCTTGGAGAGGCCGAGCGGCCTGGAAGTCACCGCCCAGGAGGCAAGTAGGCCGCTATATCAAGAGGCAGGGCAAAGAGCCCGGCCTCATTCTTCAGTGTGCGAGTTGGGTGTCACGCTGCTGGAGCGCTAGGTGGTGGAGCGCTGGGCACTACAGCACTGCTGGGAGGAAGAAGCCGGGAGCTTCCACCTTGCCTATGGTGGAGCTCTGCCGGTAGGAGGAGGAGGGAGAAGCGGACCAAGGAGGAGAGTGGCGAGGTACTTACTGGCTATGGTAGACACCAGCTTCATCTCCTTGCTAGGCGCTGCATCAGGAAGGCCCCAGTGGGGGTAATGCCGCATCAAGGAAGCTCGGACAGAGTCAGGCATGGCGGTTGAGTGGGCAGCGGCATAGCTGCTGGGTGATGACCTTGAAGTAGAGCAGCGGTGTAGCTGCTTTGGGTTGTCTTTGTGCAGGAGGCTGAAGCCTCCATAGTCCGCCATAGCCTCGGCCTGTATGTGGAGGAAGAAGAAGGGCTACCATGGCTGTGGTGGACCTCATCTTGTGCCTGCAGTAGAAGTGGGATTCGGACATTGATTCTGGTTCAGCTGTTCAACATTATTATTGTTTATTTATTGTTTGAATAAGAGAGGAGGAGATAAAGGGGAGGAGGTTGTCGAGCGAAGAAGAAGAGCTTTGTCTTTGGTCTATGTTGGAGTACATCATCTCTTTCTTCTTTCTTAATTCTTCTTCTTCTTCTTTCCCTCTCTCTCCTCTCAAGTTCTTTCATTTCTTTTGCAATTGGACGGCATTGGGCTCAAGTTCATTCATTTCTTGTACTTTCTGATGATTGTGGACTTCAAAAGTGGCCAGGATCGTATCATTGGTATCAGAGCGGATTCTACTTGTTGGCGAGAGTTGACTTTGCTGCCATAACCCTAACCCTAGTGGTAAGGGCTACCACTTAGGTTTAGGGCTGGAAGTTAGGGTTAAGTGGGGCAGTGTGGTAAAGGGAAGCTGCTCGCACCTGGCAGGGCCGTGTAGGGTCGACACTAGGCCCGGCCAGATTGCTTGAGTGCATGTTTGTGGTGGCGAGACACAAGGCGGGACTTCGTGATGCAATTTGAGAGAGGCGACAGTGAAGGGCACCTACAACTTGAATCTAGACTTCAGGGAAGACGAGGAGTGACTTTAGGGCTCCCCTCAAGTAGGCGAGCTTGAGGGTGGCAGCCATATCTGCACCTACGGACTGCAAGTTGCTGCTTTGATCTTCAACATTGACGGGGGATCCGGCTTTGTACTTTGGGGTAGATGTTGACCCTCCTAGATGATAGGACACTAGTGTAGAGGATGCTAATTGGGTCAGGAGGACTATGTGAGAGGGGGGTGAGTTTTTCTCATCCCAAGAGCCCCGGCCACTCAGGTAAGTGTCGTGCCACCAGGGTGCCCATGTGTGTGTGCATGGAATTGACCGCCTGTTGGGGTTCTCTGGGTTCTTCTTCCATCCTCCATAGTCTTGATTGTGTGTGAGGTGTGTGAACTGCCTACTCGCCTGATGAGTGGATGAATGGAGTATCTTGTTTGCCATGTGATATCTTTCCACAGTGCTTTGTTTATTTC